AAAAAAAAAAAAAAAAAAAAAAAAAAAAAAAAAAATTAAAAATTAAAAAAATTAAAAATGTATAATACTTGTTTTCAAAATTTTCACCTTCTGAGTGGGAGAATCTGAATATAATCCTAAAAGCTGTTAAAAATAAACTCATCAAACCAAATATCACCAACTAATCCCTGCATTATCAACTTCATTGCATAAATTAGTGATATTTGGTTCTTTGTACTTAATCTCAAAGTGGCTTGCACAAAGGGAAAAAGTATTCATGCACTTACCCCATCACATGAGCAAAGTTTTGGACGGGCAAGTGAAAAGGAGAAGCTGTAATAGATTACCCCCAAAACCCAGTCAAACCAAATTACTTGATTCCACATGTGAGAGAGAGAGAGAGAGAGAGAGAGAGAGAGAGAGGTTTTGAAAGGATAAAGCTAAATAATGCAGAGTTTTCAAGTCATTCATCAACAATGTTCAAGGAAAAAGGTCACTTATAAAAGAATTAACAAACAGTGCATGCAAGAAAGGGAAAGTGTGACCTTCTATATTTGGAAAACAATCCAAAATGTGCTTATCCAATTCCATCTTTGTAATGAACCATGGAAGCACAGAAGCTTTACCAGCCAACAGTAGTAGGAAGCTGACTGGACCTCGCTATTCGCCGCTCGTCATCACCCCATCATCTGCACAAATTTTTCATTGATAGTTAGAAGCTAATTTCGACCATCCCCCACCCAAACACAACTCGGAGTCTAAACTAAAGAGAAGAGAGTTCAGTCAACAAGAAGCTGGCAGAGCTTTAGCCATTGCACTACATCCATTGAGACTACCTAAATCGTTACACAAACCACTCAAGAAAGCTTTCCATGGCTACATTCTATATTATTATTTTTACAAATGTCTAACGCTTAGGTTTAAACTCCATTATGGTTCTTGATTTTTCATATTAATTTTTGTTTTGACTTCCAAACGAGCTATTTTAGTCTCTCAACATGCAAATGCTTTATTTGTCTCTAAACATGCAAATGTTTTATTTGTCTCTCAACTTTTTATCAAAAGTATATCACCAAAGTTTAGAAACCAAAATAGAAGAAGCATAAGAGTTGAGGAAGATTTAAATCCATAGGACAAAGACTATGAGACAGAAAATCACCTTCAAGAAATCTCCGAAGATCCCTTGCAAGGGATTTCTGCGCCTTACTCCATAGAATTTCTCTGCAATTTCATCAAGAAACTGAAGCAAAATGCTGAAGTTAAAATCCGATTATATAACTCCAACCAAAAAAAGTGTTGATTTATCGAAGTTTCGGTAACAGGAGTTGCACCTCATTCAGGGAAGGTTCTCTCTCGATACTCGGCTTGTAATTTGCCCTCAGCATATTGAAAAGAGGCAAAGCATCTCTCTGCAACCTGCAAATGCATATTTTAAGTTCTGCCGAAATTCCATCCTAGAAGCATCTACCGGCAACTGCAATACTGGGAACAGAACTAGAAGAACTGACACTAAAAATTTAACCAGCAAG